ATGTTCCTGTTTTCGCCGCAAGTCTTGGTTAGAATCTCCATAGAATTGTCGCTCACAATTGGTAACTTGTACTCAGAATAATGCGCATTGGAAAAAGCAATGCGTCTTCCCCTGTTTTTCCGTTAGTCTTGCATTAGATGAATATTTTCAGCTCCTAATCTTCGTTTACCAATACGGGTGTCGATGACAAATTGGGTTGGACTGAATGAGGTCGGCATTGACGGTGGTGGGATTTTCAGGTGAGTTGCGATCGTTCCACAGTTGTCACTGCAGTTATCGTCAAAGGCATACGTGTAACAAAATTATTTATTCCAGAGAGTTTCTGACAGAGCTGCTCCGAACTGGATTTGATCCAGATAGAGGATTTTTCAAGTATACACATGATAGGTGAGCTTTATAAACTTGTCTTCATGAAGTAGCCGAATAAGCGCATTCAGGTTGCTTTATCCTAATCCATCATCCATGCAGCTATATCCAGATTCGTATTCTCAACACTTCTTCTTCCTAGGACGAGTAGTTGCGAAGGTATGCACTTGCAGTCATTATGCTCAAAAATTTTTTTTGATACAATTTTTTGTTGGTGCAGACAGTTGCTTTTTGGCTTGGCGTCTCAAGCTTTTTTTCCTATATGGATTTGCTCAACAGTCCACCCTGTTGGCAATGTTAGCAAGCATATTTTAGCTAATTTACGAGAAACAAATGGCTGAAATACGTTTTGCCGAGTTCTTCGTTGCACAGTTATTAGGCAAGCGGCACACGGATGTTGATCTACATCACATGAAATCATATGATCCTGCAATCTATAAGTAAGAGTTTTTCCAAAGGTAAAATAGAAATCTACAAATAATCACCTTTTTGCAGACATCTGAAGAATTTGCGTTGCCTGTCAGCAGATGAGTTAGCAGCTTTGGAACTTGATTTTAGCGTTATTGTGGATGACATGGGAGATGTTCAGGTGATTGAAGAATTGTTGCTTTTTAAACATTTTCATTGAATCACTTTTTTCCTGCTTACGTCATGAAAAATATGGAGCTTAGTGCAGTTTAAAATTCAGTACATATAATAGACATCACAAATTGCAAGCATATTGCATATTCAGACTGTAGACCTTATTCCTGGTGGTCGAAACATACGGGTCACGGTCGATAATCGTTTGGAGTACATAAGAACATATGTGAACTTGTTCCTCTACAAACGGGTGAGTCTACAGTAACCTTTGTTTATAAAGTACGACAGAAATTGCATCGATTTGATTTTTCTGGCGAAAATTATGTCATTT